ATCTGGTTGTAACTTATTCATTCAGTTAATCACATACCTCTCCCTATTATTAATACGCGAGATTACTCTTACTCTATCATCTTGTGGTTCTCCTCCTTTATTTGCAATTTCCTTTTTAATAAAGAATTATGACCCTGAATTATTCAGCATAAACATATTATAACCATATAATAAATGTGTGTTGTAATATATAGACATAACGTAAATTTATAATTTTTAATTATAATACTTTCTATATTTTTTCACTTTTAACAAACATGACATCAACTGGTGAGGTTATTGATGTCATGAAATAGGTTGCCTTTCACTTCCTAAGTTAAGGGGGTCCAAATAACAGTTGTTTCTGTAGTGATTTGAATTCTATTCCATTATTCAAAGTCTAGCGACGTTAATGTTATAAAAAAATATTGCATTGTTACGTTCATACAGTTTGTTTTAATATCTAACATATTTAATTTAATTTAATTTATTTATTTAATTGTTTTTAATAAAAATTTAAATATATACGAAGAAAACTAATTTATCATAATTATGTAGTATATATTGAAAGATGTATATATGTATGGTATTCAAAATATTTATTCATAAATCTCAAAGAATAATTTATCATTTTTATCATACAAAACATAATATTTTTATTATTCTAAGCATGTACTTCTGTAATTACCGTGCAATACGTTAATTACTGCTGAACCAATTTACAATTTCTTTTCAAGAGATTGTGGTGGCTTATAACAGGGGTAGGATTAAAGTTTGGCGTATGCGCTCTGCAGAAGCTCTATGCTGCAACTGCGCGATATACAGTTATGACTGTTCAAAAAATCTATCTTCGATCATTGATGAAGTATTGCTAGTGAACTAATAAATTTTCAAATAATGATGAGAGGTTTTATAAATGTTGGTGAACATGTTGATCGCTCTCTGTTGTAAATATATCCACACAATTTATTTTTCCAAACTAAATGCAATTAATAACAGAACAAATGAGAATTCAATTAGTGTAAAATATTCTTAAAAAAATAACATAAAAAAGAAAGTTAAAAATCATCAAGCTATGAAAATCTAAATATTTTCTGAATATATGATAAAGTGTTAACGCAGAAGCATGATAATTTGGAAATTTAAATCTCGTCATATCACCCTTAAATTATAACTAAGTAGAGATTCAATTGATGTTTGTTTTTTATACATCTAAATTGTAAGCTTGGCGAGAAAAAAATTAAAAACTAGTCAGTAGAGAAAAAATATTAGCAATGCATAATTAGAAAATCGGGTATTTTATTTGTTATATGATAAAAGTGTGAAAGAAAACATTAAACATATTCAACGTCGTTTACATGCCAAAGAAAGAACCTGGCGAGAAGGAACGTTAGAGTGGTTCCCATAAGACTGTCCATTAGAAACCAAGTCGTCTTGGAAATTTTGGAAAATAATTTTGAAAAAACAACGGCGCCGAAGTAGCTAATATTGATATACAACTTTCTTGTTATAATATATCTATTAATATAGAGATACCTACAAAAAGTTTAAGAAATAAAGAAACATAAATTGTGAGGTGCAGCTAACGATTTATGGAGAAGGAAAAGCAAAAACGAACTTGGTGCGCTGGACGATATCTATACACACGCGCACAGGCACATATACTCGTACATACATCTGCGCGCGCGCGCGTGCGTGAGCGTGTGCGTGCGTGCGCGTGCGTGCGTGTGCGTGTGTGTAAACACCTCACAAGCTACTACGTTACTAAATGTGAATATGAACGTAATTGAATTATTATTTATTAATTAATATCGGCGGGTGTTGAGTATTTCAAATCATAGAATTGTTTTAAGTATGTAGTATATATATGAGTCGTTTTAATTCCAATTGCAACAGTTTTGACTTGATTCAAGCACGAAACTGCATAATTTTATAAACAAGAAATAAGCGCTCGAAGTGCGCTTGATGAAATAGTTGTATAAAAATTTCCAGCGAGTGTAAAAGTGATGGGTCTGTAGCATGATCGCGACTTTTATTGACACAAAAGCTAGGACATCTCGTACGATACAGACCGTGCAGGACGTCACGTACTCTTTCTGCGTTCTTTGATCTATGTTCGAAGTATGGCACAGGAAGTCGACAGCAGTGTTTCATTTTGCATTTTTCTACTGATTTGGCATTTAGATATTGAACTAACGCATTGCATTTATTTTGTATGATACATAAAAATTGGTTGAAAACACATTTCTTATTTGATTTATCGAAGTGAAATACACAAAGTTATTCGTGTGGTCTATCAATCAACGAATTTTTACAACAATTTAGGATTGTTGTAAAAATTCGTTGCATTAGGATTTCCTTGAGATTATTTTATTTGTAATTGCGTCAAATCGATACTTAAATAAAGTAAGGATTTAAGCTAAAGTTAAATGATTAATGGTTAAATAAATATAAAATTAATTTCACATTTGAGCACCACGGGTTCTAGGGAGAATGTTTCATGATATCTGCATAAAGAACTGACGACACTCAACTCAATGTTGCATCAGATTCTAGTTTACCTTAGCTGCACATGATGGTGACAAACAGGAGTTCCAGAGTGAATAAATTGATGCTTTTTAGTAATTTATGAATGTTTGTGGATTTCTTTTTAACTTTTTTTTCTATATTTCCTGTGTTTACTCAAATAGAAACGATTTCACATCATTTCACTTCACGCGTTCAGTATTTAGAAAACAATTCAATACAGTGTACTTTTTAATAGAACTATAGTTTTTAGTTCGTTTTATATCTCTTTGATATAACATTTAAATAATGTATATTTACAATAATTTTTTCCAAGTCATACAAGTAAAACATAAGTGTATCGTTTTTAGTACTGTTTCATTTCAGATTCTAAAATTTTTTTTTACGCATCTTTTTGTAAAAGGCATATGAAATACAGTATGTGTATATGTATCAGTATTAATATTTAAAAATTTATTTTGATAATAAATATAATCTGTGTCTGTTATCACGACTGTTATTAGCAATTTGTTATTATTTCCATAAATGGTTAGTTATTATTGAAAGAATATTTTTGAATATAGCTAACTGTTCTATAATAAATTGAAACTAAATCGCCAAAAAAATCAATATAAAATTTTCATTTACTACCTATTTTAATAGAAAAACCTAATAACTTTTGAAAGTTAAAATAAAAAAACAACTTAGCTTTCAGTTTGTAGCATATTATTAATGATTCTTTGGACACATAAAAATATACAGTAGGGAAAACGTAATACTGGCAGTTCTGTATTAACGAAACTAGAATCTCGCATGCTTGGATTTGCATGTGACTCGGTCGTGAGAAAAGTCCTCTCCCCTGTATCAGACTAAAGGACAGAGAGGACAGCCAGGTGGGGATTTACCGCGGTGTTCTACGTAAAAGTGCCAGCATCACCGGAAGAACTCGCAGTCTTGCTCTGCGAGTCAAGTTATCATTTTGAAATTGTTCAATTTTAAATATACGATAGTTTATTATATTCAATTGGTTTCGTCCTTTAATTATAGTCGTTTGATTCTCGCTGTATATTTGACACAAGTTAATGCTAGTGCCAAGTATACTTGTAAATAATTTGTTTATAACTCTTATGTGTCCATGAGGAGCAAAGTCTTAGACTGTCAAGGAAACTCTCCAACGTTTCTTGCAAGTGTTAGGTGAGTGACTATTGCGTTAATTTATTCATATTTTAAATTATTGTATTCGATTAATATGTATCATGCAAGATTTAAAAATAGTTAAAATATTGATACGAGAATGAATTGTTTAGTTAAAATAACTATTGTAGACATTGCTAACAATGTTATAGAGGCATGTTTAATACTTGACTATATCGTTATCGAATTTATAACGGAAGACGTAAAGTTACTTGTTTTCCATAAAGATATTTATTAGAGTCTCGATTGGATAACCTTGTTTACGAAGAATTAGAAACGAAGCTTGGATTTTCTATCTATTGATTGTGAAATCGAACAGTGAAAAGACATGGTATTTCTAACTGCAGGCTAGGAAAGAATCTTCGGACCCGCAAAGGTAGCCGTCGCGGGAACGCTGGAAATCGCCTGGAACTCTTAGTCTTGGTCCATTTACATCACGTGCCCTAGAGTAAGTTGAAAATTCATACTGGATTTAAGTGTTGTAACATATTTATAGTTCTATGTCAAAAGTGTATTTATTGTATGGAATTATTAAGGGGACTAGTCGGAATGCTAAACGATGAAAATGATGGTTTTCCTTCATCATAGTGTAAATGTAGATCATTGCGAAACGTTTTTCATAGTGGAGTACAAACAAATAACTTTGATTTTCACTATGACGAGTTTTAAATGTTAATTCTCTATTTCAAAATTCATATTTTCATTTCGGAAATGGACACTGATTCTGAATGTTCTGACCGAAAAAAACATTTGATTATAAGACCTTAAGCAAAGAACTTTTCTAATGTACTGAGCTCGTTTATTTTTCGTTTTTGTATTATAAAATTTATTTAATTAAATACATATGAACTTGTTCAATATATAAAAAAAAAGAGTTTTTTCAACACTGTTTGGTTTGAGCTTAAATAAAGATTGCAAGGAATTAAAATAGCTCACAAATGCTTTCGTTCATCCAAATAATAAAAATCACGCATGACGCGAATTTTTCAATAAATAAGAGTTTTCTTCAATTCCATGAGAGTGAAAATGAAAGATTATTTGTAACTTGAAATAAAAAAAGTTGACAATTTCTACTCTGCAAACAAGAAATATCATTTTTCGTATTTTATGCTGGCTTGAGTCAACTATTCAGGCTACCTGCTGTTCAGGCAAATTATAAATTTGTCAAATTTTAAAAGACTAAAGAAGCTATTTTATATATGAAATAATGATATCAGATTTTTTAAATTGGGGAAAGTCAAAACCAAAAAATAAAATAATCGGTGAATTAAAGTTTGTTACAATGAAATAATATTTAAATAAATTTAACTTTACAGTTACTGGAACATCTTGCTTTTACTTGCGGTAGCAGCCTACGCAATTTTTCTTCGAACCAAACCTCCGAAGTTAAAACCAACATAAGCATAAAGCAGGCTGCTCTCGAACCATTGCCATCGCGAGGAACGTTCCCGAATATTTAGTATTCGCTTATCTCAATATAAAAACAATAGGAACTACGATACTATATCAAAATGGTGCAAGAAAGATTATCCTCATCTCTTGCCAAGGGAGCTACTTTCCAGAACTCATCAAAGTAAGCATCCTTCACTTTCATTTTAATATCTATTTCCCGCAGGAAATTTAAGTACATTATTGTTAAACCTTGTGATTTTCGACAGAAAAGAAAAGGAGACAATAGCTGCGAGCGTTGCTTCTCGATCAAATATCAACAAAGCTACGGGTGGAAAATACGGTGCCTGGGGTCCTGTTTACAAGAACAAACAGAACTTTATAGACATGCATAATAGTTAGAAAAAGTTTAAAAGATCAAGCAACAATTACTTATTTTTTTGTCTCTTTAAAGCATTTATATTTTGTATAATTCAACCACAGTTCAATTTGCTCGTCAAGTATTTCGGGGCTTATGGGAATTTTTCAAGCACACAACGAAGCATAAAATGGCTAAAATTTTCGTCTTTCCTAATGATGGCTTCGCCGGAATAATTGAAAGACGAAAATGAAGGATTAGCTGGAACGTTCATTTGTTATGTTCAGTTTCATAGCAAGCGCGTCAATGGCAATGGTTCGCAGAAAATTATTAAAACAACTCTATTGCTTTATATTATTAAAACTTACTAATATCAGTGATAAAAGTTGTGGTTTTTCTTCTACTAACACAAGCTTTTCCAATGCATATAAACAATGTATGGTTTTATACGCAAATATACATGAATAATTAACTTTGATGTCGGCCTTTATAAACATTGATCTCTGATGGAGTTTCATATTTTTTTACTATAGAATGAAAAAAGACATTTTTGTATTAAAAATGATTCTTTGAAAGAAAATGGTGGCAGAAATATTGAAAAAAAATGCCCAATTTGGATTCGAAAGATCATCCAAGCGGCGGATACTTGTCACACAAGGAAGTGAACTATGTGAAGGAGAAAGAAAAAAAGTGAGTTCGTATTTCCTCAGCGTCATCGTAAACAGGCATGAACTTGTTATTTTCCTATTTGCATTACCTTTAAGAAATTCCAATATCATTTGTTAACTAAAGTCAAGACAAATAATGAATTACCATTAAGTTATGTTTTTACTGTAAGGAAAAATTTGTGATCTCTTAATGTACATATGATAGATTAGGTTTATTCAATTTTTGTTTTAAACTTAGTAGTTTTCGATGTTAAAATAACTATTATACAAATATCGCTCCAAAAATTTGCAAAAATTCTTGGTCTCAAAAAATAAAAATACTTGAAGACATATATTTTCAATGTTTATCTTTTAAGATAAAATTTTTGCAAAGTTTTTAGTTGTTTGCAATAACTTATAAAACATCATTTTTGTAATAATCGTCGGACAATTAGTTAAGTTTGAATGTATCTTGACCACAAGTATATTATTTGTAATTGAATGTTCCGTGACTCCGAGTGAAGAAAATAATATAGCATGTGTGCGTATACGATGGACGAACAATAATTGTTGATGACAGATCAAGCTTTTATGATATTGTTTTCCGGCATAATTCAGATAAAATTATCTGCTTACTAGGGAAACTACAATGAACATAAATCAAAACGTAGGGATTGAAAAAAATGTAAAATAAATAATCTGTCAATTAGATGGTCGAGCGGGATGTAGCAATGCTTTGAGGAAGAAAATCCACGGGGAAAAAGGACAAGTACTAAGAGAAATGCCGAAAAACGAGAGGAGCGGTTGCGAGGGGCCGAAGCAACGGATACAGCAGCGACGGCGGCGGCGGCGGCGGCGGCGGCGGCGGCGGCGGCGGCGCGAGTATGTCGCGACGAAGTCCACGACGAAGACGACGAGAAGTGCATTCGGTCGTCGCCCCGCGAGAGTGACGGAGGCTCACGCCTTCCTTCAGAAAAGTTGTCGCGCCGCGTGCACCCTCTGAGGGCAAGACTCGCGCGCTGCACATTTAAATCTCCCGCGACTGCACGAACGTTGCTCCTTATTTGCACACTCGTTCCTATACTTTGACGGTTCCTTTCATTAATTATTTATAGTCACTTACTCTTAACATTCGCAACTATTTATTCCTGCTTTAGTCTTTAAAACTATATGTGTCTATTGATTAGCCTCCAATCCGAAAACATTTAATATATTCCATTGACAATCGCACCGTTGACGGTATGTCTAGACAGTTTTATTGGAAATAGATTATTTAATGTTGTGCTGCAAGATTGCAAGGACATTGACTGGAATCTTGCCTGCATTAGTTTGAACATTCTGCTCCAAGAGAAGAAAGGATTGCCGTTGCTGGCGAAATCGAGAAGCGTTATTTTAAGCTTTCAAAGCTCCTGGTGAGTAATTGCCTTAGAGCGCCATTCAAATTCTCTTTCTCTCGTTTTTTTCACATTTTTGCATGCTTTCTGCTTTGCTCAATAATATTTTGTCTACTCGAGCCCATTGAAATGCCAATGCGTCATGCGACACTCGTTGGTCGCATGAAAAATTCAAGCCAGCAGAGCTCGTGCTTTTTCTCATTTTCATTTTTGGACAATTTTCTGCTTTAATCTCAAATCAACGCCTAGACGTTCTGAAGCACGAGACGCACGAGAATTGTCAAAGGTATATATGATAGAGGTCACGATGAATTACCCGAAAAGACGTGACTTCGATGAGCCTCGTGGCGCGCGAGGTAGAATCAACAATATGTAGGCGAACGCGCGGCTGAGGGAAACCTCTTCCAACGTGCACCTACGAGTACGTTGTCGACGTGTACCGCATATATACTTGCATGTTGTGTTTTAGTGTAAATCCAAAAATGAAATGCATTTTTTTGGCTCATGGAATTGCAAAAATTTTTACAATACTATGGCTTACAAATGTTTTTCTTCTTCTTACTAAAGGATTACAGTAACGGAAAATACTCGTAAGCATTAATAAAGTTAGTGAGACAATTTTTTTGGCTTTTTTATATTATAAACTAGAGGTTTGCGTCAGAACTTTTGATATAAACTCTATCGTCCTAATATGCAAGAAATGACATTCAACATGTATTGCATCTTTGGAAACCATTTTTGATATTCATTAACGTACTTATCAAATAAACTAATATCTGTAGGAAGGGTTTTAGAAATGGATTGTAGTTTAAGACATTAGATTGTATTTTGGTGTCAGGAATAATAATTCTATATTTTGGTTTAATAATCACGTTTAAGAGCTTAATTACAGTCGTTAGTTTCAATACCTAATAAATCAAATCCCAGCTATTTTACACCAATTAGCTCAACCAACTGACAGTGTATACTTTAATTACTTTCAAATCCCAAGACAATTTAACATCTTTTTAAAATCTCCAAATATCAGTTTTCAGTGTATTTTTTTGCGTAGAATACATAGAATAAGGCTATTGGTTTTACAATAGCACCTATACCAAAAGTGCTAGAAGTGAAAAAACCAGTAAAGAATTACTGAATAATCTGATATTATAATGTAAAATTAATAAAAAAGCATAGAAGGTAGAAAAAAACAAGTGCAGATCGTGTAATTCAATATTACGAAAAACTATCGAACGGGTACTTTTTTAGTTGATCACATCATTAATAATTGAAACTATATTGTCAGTTTAAGATGTGATTATACTGGCAATTCTATATTTGTATAACATTAACCAAGTAAAAACGAATGTTGATATTATCGTGGACAGAGAAGTGTAGACAGGTATTGAAATAATAAACACAAGCCACATAAATTCCAGAAAGAAGTATGTTGTACATAAATATGTAACGTGAAAATAAGAGTGAGACAAGGTCAGTTAAGTTGAAGAAATTTACCGAGAAAACTGACCATATAAAAATGAAAAGTTCAGTGAACTCGTAAGATTGGAGCCTGATTAATGGTGGCAGTGTATCGGAGCCCGGATCTCGCAGTCGCTCCGGGAAATCGGAATTTCCAGCGGAAGCCGGCTTGGTGTCCCCTCTTCTTCGTTGACAGTCACGCGGAGACCTCAAATCCCCGAGACGTAGTCTAGGCCAAGCTTGCACTTGGGTGCCTGGCTATTTTCGTCAGTGCGTAGACACTAGCCGAGTAGCGGCAGCAGCAACAGCCAGCCACCAGTCACTCGTCAGCCGCGATGCTACGGCACCCTTTGCAAACATCATTTAGCTCCCTGTCTCCCGTCCCGCTCACGTTCTTCCACTGCGTGTGCGCCTCGAGCTTAGTTACTTACGATCTCTTCTCTCTCTCGCGACCGCACCCTTCCTCTTCGTGCCAAGCTAGAGAAAGAGAGAACGACGCAACAGACAGATAGATAGATATAGAAATCTACTGAAGTCAGCGGAGCTGCGACGTTTACTTCGTTCGGCTGAACTCTTTTCTCATATTATTTTACGCACGATCGTAAATCATTCGTCCGAGGCGTGAAAGCCTATTTTTCACTAGGATGCTCGAGCAATCTGATTTTTTTGCAACACCGTAAAACCTAAATGCAAATTTATCGTCATAGAATGCATCGTTGCAAAATCATCCTATCATTATTTATCAACATTGATATTTACAGGCACCAACAAGTCCCGCGGGGAACGTCAGCATTTAACAGCCCGTTAGTGTCAGGAAAAAGCGACAAGATTTTTACCGCAACACGGGCTTTTAATGCTAGACGAATACTCGACGCGTTCTTCCGTCCACGACTAAGGCACCGCCTACCCGCTTTCCTTTTTTCACGCACCAAGCTGGCGATTATAGTTGCTGAAGATTTTAACGACAGGCTTTGGCATTGGAAATCCGTCGAGCTGCGAGCTTAAGGTAGAAATCGGCTTGGGGTCCGTGGCGCAAGAACTGGAAACGGAAATGACGAGGGTATCGTAGAGCGCGAGAACGGCACACGCGTGCCCCGACACGCGCGGCTTCTAGGCAGGCGCGAGCGAGGGCGGCTGTTTAGAAAATGACGAACGAAAGTGGGAAGCGCCTTCCCTTGCCCAGCTCCCGTTCCGCGCCTGGTCTTTTTTTATTATCAAGGAGACATTAGATACTCGAGGGTATCACCCCAGAGCAATTCCGGTGGCAGCCGTCCTCGTGTCGAGCTACGACCGCGAGTTCGTTCAACTCGGCGAGCGCTCTATCTCTATCTTTCTCGCGGTCGACCCCCCGCGAACGACCGCCAAGCGGCCCACTGGCGCGCCGAGGTTAATTGTTTTAGCTGTTGCTTTTCTAAGAGACTTTTTGCTCCCTCCTTCTTTTCCCTGCCTTTCTTTTCTTTTTTTTTTTTTTTTGTAGCTCCAAATACGCGTAATGCCAGAACTTTTAACACTTCATGTAATTCAATAGCGATCAATCACTTGAGTCAACATTCACCGAATGTTTAGATTGTACATACATAAATAACAAGTCAATTGACGGATCACGAGTCACAAATATATCAAGCGACAATGCTAAGGTTCTATCAGTTCTATCTTTACAAATCGGATGCAAGCGCGTAGTGCAGCAGGAAAACATTTTAATAGGCGAAGCAGATTACCCTAATCCTTCTATTTCCGAAAGCCGTTAAAAGAAAGCAGTGGCCCATTAGTGATTTAACTCGATTTCACTTGTTTATTTAAGGACACATTAACTTCGAAATTTCAGTTTTATGGAAGATAGAAGCCGGCGCATCTTGAAGTTGATAATTTATTAGATTGCAAGCTTGCATCTCTACTCAAGCCGAATAGGTAGGTTTTATCGCGGTTTTCGCCCAGACGAAAGTTATTCAACGAACGAGTCATTATTTATTTTTGGACTA